CCTTCTGTACTCAAGAAATCCCATCTTGGGTCCTTTTTCGGAGCTCCGCCAGAGGGGGCACTAATCACGGAGGGCCTCTACATCAACTCCATGGCCTCTCTGGTGATGTGTGAGTAGTTTACTTCAGACCTACGGGTCCATAGTTATTAGCTAGATGGCTTCTTCTCTCTCTTTGGATCTCAATGCAAAGTTCTCCTCGATTCTCTTGGAGATCTATTCGATGTAATCTTCTTTTGCCGTGTGTTTGTCGAGATCCGATGAATTGTGGGTTTATGATCCAGATTATTTATGAACAATATTTGATTCTCCTCTGAATTCTTTTATGTATAATTGGTTTATCTTTGCAAGTCTCTTCATATTATCAGTTTGGTTTGGCCTACTAGATTGATCTTTCTTGCAATGGGAGAAGTGCTTAGCTTTGGGTTCAATCTTGCGGTGCTCGATCCCAGTGACAGAAGGGAACCGACACGTATTGTATTGTTGCCATCGAGGATAAAAAGATGGGGTTTATATCATATTGCATGAGTTTATCCCTCTACATCATGTCATCTTCCTTAAAGCATTACTCTGTTCTTATGAACTTAATACTCTAGATGCATGCTGGATAGCGGTCGATGTGTGGAGTAATAGTAGTAGATGCAGAATCGTTTCGGTCTACTTGTCTCGGGCGTGATGCCTATATACATGATCATACCTAGATATTCTCATAACTATGCTCAATTCTATCAATTGCTCGACAGTAATTCGTTTACCCACCGTAACACTTATGCTCTTGAGAGAAGCCACTAGTGAAACCTATGGCCCGGGGTCTATCTTTCATCATATTAATCTTTCAATACTTAGTTATTTCTTTTGCCCTTTATTTTACTTTGCATATTTATTTCTCTTTATCATAAAAATACCAAAAATATTATCTTATTATATTTATGAGATCTCACTCTCGTAAGTGACCGAGAAGGGCTTGACAACCCCTTTATCGCGTTGGTTGTGATGTTCTTATTTGTTTGTGTAGGTGCGTGGGACTTGAGCGAGATCTGCTACTGGATTGATACCTTGGTTCTCAAAAACTGAGGAAAATACTTATGCTACTTTGCTGCATCATCCTTTCCTCTTCAAGGGAAAACCAATGCAGTGCTCAAGAGGTAGCAGACTGCAGTTTACTAAATTTAGGCCCCTAAAAAATTTCCTTTGGTAATTTTTCTATGGGGGGGTGCAGCGCCCCCTCAGGTTTGAATGTACCTCTACCGGTGATTCTACATGCTCAGCAACACCGGAACTAATCCAAGACATTTTTGATACATAATCTTTCTGAAGTGCACCGGTTTATTCTCTAAATATAATCTTTACCAGCTAAACAAAACTCGTGTGCAGAAGCATGTTGCAAGAACCGAAAGTGTGGTCATGTACCAGCAACTCCTTTGGGATCCAGCTGGCCCTATTTTTCAATTTTTTTGACCAATGAAAACAGCAGGAGAGACTCCTACTGTTGCTATTTATTTATTTAAATGTTAACCAATGGTTAACAATTGAGAAATGGTTGTTTTACATAGCTTTACAAGAATATAGTAAGTAAAGCAGGAGATTAGATAGTCAAAGAAATGCTAAAACCTTCTAAAAGGTTAATTTTTGAGGGTTGATCATGTAACCTAATATCACAAAGTCTTCCTTGAGTTTCCTTAGCCACTCAGCGTGGGTGGCCGTCTCTTCATCAAATACCTCTCTATTGTGTTGCTTCCAAATATTCCAGGAGGTCAGTATGGTTATCTCTTTGAACAGAGGTCCCTGCTAGCTTGCTTTAGCTCTCTCATATTTGTGTTGCATGTCTAGGTGATTATCCCAATCAATGCCCACAACTCCTCAACACTTTGCAACAAAAGGACACTCATAGAATAGATGTGCATTTGTTTCTAGTACCTCCATGTTGCACATTGGACAATTGTGATCTTCTCCAATATCAAAATGCCTTCTTAGAAGCATATCCCTTGTATTGACCCTATCATGCAACATCAACCATGCAAACACTTTATGTCTCATGATACATTTTGTTTTCCAAACGGAGGTGATGCATTGTGGAGCCAATACATTTCTGAACATGAAGTTGTAAAACTTCTTCGGTTTGAAATCAGTATCACCCCAGCAAAGAATCCATTCATCAGTTCCCTTTTTTTTCAATTTGCCGGGTATGAACCCCCTGAGATGATGTAGGCAGTTGGGTACAGTCTACAGTGGCACACAGGTGGCTTGCATTTCTCTATTTGCTTGGCGATGTACGATCGAGAATCCAGAAGCAGATGACTCTACTTGCTACTTCCATCTGTGCAACAACTCCAAACCTGATGGAATGGCATGTGATCCTATTGGATGTTTCAAGCTGTTGTTGAGGAACGATTATAGTTGTTGGATACCCTACCTCTCCGCTGACCACTATCCAAAAGTGCCTTATCTTCCTCTTCTCACGTCCGGCGATCACCGTGGCAACGGGTTGTGACAAGAGGTTAACCATGCAGCACACAACACCATTTGGTACAGAATGATTCCTGATCTTTCAAAGAGAGCAGAACTCAATTACAGTTAAGTTTCAGTCACTCACACAACAATGATCATGATTCCTAAAGCCAAGCACAACTCTTCCAAACCAAATAATTATACCTGCTACTAATCCAGATTTCTAAAGGTAAAAAAATGCATCGCCCAAATCATCTTCCAAGAATATCGCAAAACTACTAGTATTGCACTCATTTTGCGACATCCCCTGTCACATTAACCGTCCCTAGTTTATCAAGGATCCTCTCTTTTACATTCATGTATGACAAACAAATCAAGCAATGATTACTAGTGTTGTGTAAAATGACGACGAATATTGTGCTTATTCTAACTGGGCTTTGAACATAGCCCATACTATTCAGGACAAGTTTTCAATGTCTGGATAAAACTTGTGAAATTATTTGGCATGATCAATGCCTGCCATGCCACTATCTTTAGTTTGTTTTAACAGATTCACCCGTTTTTCGTGTAACTCGGACAGGGAGCGCCATCATTATAACTTTCCAAATGATAAGTATCACACGTGTGGCACGAAGCAACATGGTTCAAACGCCTTCATTACCATCCATTTTGCAACATCAAACAAATGACATCAGCGGAATATTTTTGGCTTTCGAACTTAAAAATATTTTATCTCTTAAATAAATAATTCGAGTAAAAATCTGTTTTTATCATTAAATCTGTCTTGACGAGATCTTCAAAACTAGATCCGACATTGATATGTTTCCACTTTTTTTTACAAAAAGTGGCCATGATGTTACACTGAAGTTGCCATAGTGTTACACTAAAGTTGTCATGATATGTTTCATCTATTTTTTTCTTCTAGATTTGAAACTACCATTATATTTCAACTACTTTTCACTGTAAATTTTATTAATTGACCATGGCGATTTTAGTAGTTAACCACGGCAATTTTAATTCATGGATCATGGCAATTTTTAGTAACTCATGATGGCAATTTTAGTATTTTGACCATGGCAATTCTAGTATTTTAACCATGGAAACTATTTTTTGTATGAACCATGGCAAATTTTAGTGCATGTATCATGGCAAATTTAAATAATTCATGATAGCAATTTTAATTTCTAGTTCATGGCAAATTTGAGTCATTAACCGTACATTTTTAAAATAATTGACGATGAAATTCTTTTTAATTATGAACCATGTCAAAATTATTTCATAGATCTTGGCAAATTTTAGTAATTCACCGTAGCAAGTTTAATTTTCTTAATTCCCTTTTTTATAACATGCCAAAATTTACTTTAAACGTAGAAGTAAAATTAGTTGAAACATGTCATGGCAACTTCAATGTAACCACTATGACAATTTATTTGCAATAGACACGGCTACTTTTAACCGCCAAAAAAATATTATCGAAACATATCGATATGAGATCTAGTTTTGAAGTCCTCGTTGCGACGGATTTAATGATGAAAATAGATTTTCAATCCAATTTTTATTTAAGAGATAAGACATTTTAAATTTTGAAAACCCAAAAGATTCTCGCTAACATCACCTGTTTTTGTCCTTATTTGCATGCATGTTTAAAAAAAATAAAAAGACTGACGTGGCTAGAAGGGCCTGTGGCCCGACCTCATTCAGCCCACACGTTTGGCATTTACCAGAGTCCTATAACTTAGGACGCTGATAACTGTCACACGTGTGGCATGTAGTAATATTGCCCACACGTTTTTTACACTAAAGTTGCCATAATTTTTTTTTCAAAAAACTAAAACTTGTCGTCCATACAGAAAGTTGTCATGCTTCACAATTAAAGTTGTCATCCTCTTATAACTACAGTTGCCATCAAAAAATATGTGGGCGAAATTGCTTCATGCCACCCGGGTGGACGTTATCATTTAGGATAACTTATGATTTGTTGATTTTAATTCTTGTCCTTCCTTTCTGAAGCATATTATGAATCAGTTAAACAGAGTGAAGTAAAAATCTAAAATTAATGCAAAGTGCCTAAAATGTGAAATATAAGAGTAAACAGCGCGTGGTACATAAACTTGGCAGGCGAGAGCACTTTTATATCGTGCTTTCACTGCTGTAAATTTGGACTGTGTGCTCTTGAAAGCCAAGTTTACAGTGTTGAAAGCACGTTGTGGGAATTGATTTGGTGTTCTCACATGCCAAGTCCGTGTACCACGGGTGTAAGAATAAAAATCTTGGCGGAAGATAATTTTTGGGAAGCGACAGCGCTTTATATTTATGATGAATGAAGTATACAAGAGATCATCATGAAATGGTATTCGAAAATAGAAAGGAAAACCCCAAAATTGGTATGACAAAGTCAGCTCGCCCTCCGGTGAATGATCTCATCTCTCCCTACCTTTTAGGATGACCATTTGGGTTCATGTTGTTCCAACCACCAAGCTCAGCATGTCCTTGGTGACAACAGAGCATCCACGGGGCAGTCATGATAATAATCCGAGCCTCGATGTGACGCGGCATCAACCTTTGCCCTGCTTGAAGTAGTGCAAGATCCGTGCTGCCAAGATGTCGACCCACGTGTCCGGTACGCCGGGCAGGCACCAGTGCATGCAGTCCTGCCTCCAGACTACCACCTCATCCTTCTTCTCGAGCCAGACAGCCGGATGGGCGTCGGCGCGGAACTCGCTCATGTAGGTCAGGTTGAGCAGCTGGATGTCCGTCTCAACTAGCGCTTCCTGGAGCAATGAGTTCACTAGTCTCGCGTCTTTGTTCACTCCCCTGAACCTTGGATCAAACCAGGAATCGAGCTGCACAGGATTTTCGGGGGTCATGAAACGAAAATTTGAGGAAAACGTTAGATCATGAAAAGCTTGGCCCTCGAATGGTACCTCATTTTGTTGTAGGAGCCTGTTAGAGACACAGCTGCCGTTGTGATTCCAATCGCCTCCATCAAAGTGCCTGGGTGACTGTGTGCGCCACAGCTTCAGGGTTTTACTTGGGACCTCCCTTTTGATGTAGGAGCCCATACTTTTGAGGGCTACCTTCAGCCCATCAAAGATGCTAAGTGGAGGCTCAATTAGTTTTCCTCGGTAGAAAACAAGGGGGGTCTCTTTTGGGAATTTATACGAACCCCACCTGATAGAGAGACAATCAATGACCAAACTGCAAATATAGCTTTCACATGATAAAGTAAATGTAGTTCAGTACACATCACTAGGCACTTTTTAACTCAGGGTTATTATGTCACATAATAAATAACATTTCAAGACTGAAATGAAGCTTTTTCTAGGCACAAACGGCTCAGTCTCCAAGTGACTCCAACATAGAGAATATGCAGTGTTAAAATTCGATTCAAACAAAACTCATGAGCAATCTCAGTAGCCCTTGAACGAAATTAGAGAAACAAAATTTCACCCTATCCTACCTGCACATAAAAGAGGGGAAGAAAATAACAAAAGCATAGAGTAAATAACTTAACCACTTACCAGTGTCCAGTGTTGAAAATGAGCACGTCATAAAACTTGGTGATATTTATCCAATCGTCAGCAGGAATGTCGACATCAACTCTGTAGGTTCCCTTTATTCCGTCCTTCCGAGGTTCAAAATTCTCTAGAGGCTGCCACCTTCGTATAATCGTATCATTAGTTATCGCCATGTGAGTTTTATGGAAGTATAATAAAAGTATAAAAGTAAGGATACACTTCTGTTGTGTCTAAAAGCACAAATGCATGCAGTATTGCAGTTGAAATGTCAGATGCTATCTGCTTAAGTCTAACAAGTATGAGCTTCTAAATTATCGGCATCAACGTCCACATTATTGAAGTTTATACATCAGGAAAGTGACGAAACTGTTCGTGCATCTTTTAACATATGGATATATAAAATAACACACGCAATCAAAGTAGGACGAAATAATAAAATGTACTTCGAAATCATGAAAGCTAACCATGTGCCAGACAATAAAAATGCTTCGATGTTTCTATAGGTAGATCTCAGTTTCTTCATCAAAATGTAGAAATGGCAAAAAAGGTATTCTTACTCATTAATATACTTCTGTGTCCACAAACTATTTTCGTGGGTGTAGATCTCAGAGAAAAAACAAAACAAAACAAAAGCATGTGTTGCAACCTAAAATAAAAACGAAAGCAATAGCGCCAGAATTCACTGATCAGCAGACAACACTACAGAATTGTACTCGACCACTGCAGAGATTAACAATGCAGCGTCACAACACCATTTGCTACGGAATAATTCCTGATTTCACAGAGAGTGGAACCAACATTTCAGTTAAGTTTCAGTCCTTTACCCACCAATGATCATGATTCATGAAGCCAGGCACAGATCATCCAAACCAAAATAACTAAAAGTGCAACTCATCCAGATTTCTAGAGGGTAAAAAATATGAAAGTGGTTTTTCTACACCCACCCTTGGTGCACCCACGTAAGAAAACATACCAAAACATTTGAAAAAATCTGAAACTTTGTGGGAAAGATCATCAACAAATGTTAGAGAGGCTTGCAAATTTTCATGGTCAAATGACATCTGAGGAGCTCTATACAAAAAAGTCAAAATTACTCAAAATGTACGTGCACTGTTTGACCAAAATTTTGTAATTTTGTTTTTTTGTACAATTCTTCTCAGATGTCATTTGACCACCAAATTTGGCAAGCCTCTCTAACATTTTTTGGTGATCATTTTCATAAAATTTCAGATTTTTTCAAAATGTTTTGGTATTTTTTTTTGCGTGGGTGCACCGTGGGTACACTGAGTTGGGGTTCAACCACTACTTTCCTAAAAAATATGCATCACCCGAATTATTTCCTGAGAATATCCCAAAACTACATATAGTTTACTCATGCTTCGACATCTCACATTACAGTAACTGCCGGTGATGCACCGAGGATCCTCTATTTTACATACATATCACAAACAATTAAACCAAGAAAATTGAATTCCTATAAGCAGCTATGGACACCAAATAATTCTATGGCATATATTTTTAGTTTTTTTCCTCTATTGTTTCACTTTTATTTTTTTTCTCATCTTATTTTTTCTTTCTTGATATTTATATTTTATTTTTAAAAACATAAATGTAGTTACGTGTAGCCAGCTGCTTGCAGCTGCAATTGCGATGGCAGGTGGACATGCAGTTGTGTGCAACTGCAGCTGCGCCCGTTCGGTGGACATGCAGTTGCATAGGGCATGTACAATAGCATCTAATCAGCCGTCTGTAATGTATGCCACCTCAGATTTTTCATTACGTGGAGGAGAGAGAGCTAGGAGAGAGAAGGAAGGTGTCGTTAATTCTGAAGACGGTCGATATCCCAACAGTCTCGCTACCTACCGATAGCCTCATCCCCGTTGTACGCTCAGGGGTCGTTAATTTGCCGTTTCCATGCAGCAGTCTGCCCACGTTCTGGCCAAGAAGCACACGATGATGGAGGTTCGCATGCAGCAGCCTGCACACGAACGACGTGCTACATATAGCAAAAGAGCAGACTATTGTAGATGATGTTTTTACTACTATCTATAGATGACGTGGATCATCATTACAGACTGCAAGTGTTCAGACTGATGTACATGCCCAACATGCCCAATGCACATTTGCGTGTGGCCGATGAACATGTAGTTGCGCACAAACCCATGGGTGTGGGACTGGTGGACATGCAGTTGCGAGTGATCGGTGTGCATGCAAATTTCGAAGTACTCCCTCCGTCCCAAAATAAGGTAGTTAGTATAAACTTGAGTCACTTATTTTGGGATGGAGGGAGTATGACTCTAAAGTAGGAGCAACACTTACAGAAAATACCCTTTGGCTCTCGCATGTATATACACCTTATATGGATTTTTTTGAATAATTAAACAAAAAGTCAAAATAATTTAAAAGTATTTTTAGATTAAACTTGATTTACTTGTGCACTAGTATAGAAATTTTCACACAAAAAGAACCAACGTTGACTTCACAACGAAAAAGACAAAATTTATTTGCTATTATAGGTCACTATTCATGCTATTTTGACCAAAAAAATTTCTTTTTTGAAAAGAAGTCAAAGAGGCATTTTTTTTGTGCAACTTTTCTCACTAGTACAATGAAAGATAAAGTTTATTTCAAAAATATTTTCAAATTCTTTTGACTTTTTGTTGAATTACTATTTTTTTCATATAGGGTGCATATGTACCGAGGAACCAAACTTCCCCTCCCAGCACTTAGCAGACACGGTAGTACTAGGACTCACGTGTACTTGGCGAGGAGCACGGCGCGGTGGTAGCCGACGACGACGTCCTCTCGGGGGAAGTGACCGCCCTGCCACGCGCCGCGCCGCTTCCACTGCCGCACGCCGGCGTCGCCCGACCAGAGCGTGCAGAGCAGCGCGATGGCCATGTCCTCCGACAGCGAGTCCCCCATGAACCCGATCCGGCGCCCTCTGGCCGCCGCGAGGAACGAGGCGGGGTCGACCCTCGGGACGACGGCGCCGGAGCCGCAGCGGGAGGGGGCCCAGGAGAGCGCGGAGACTGGGGGACGGCCGTTGCGGAGGCAGTTCCAGCTGATGCGGTGGAAGGGGCAGGACTGGTTGTAGAGGGCAGGCGGCGGGGGAGACGGGGTCTGGACCCAGCGTCCGGCGGTGGCGTCGGCCGGGGCGGCGCCGCAGGGGATGTTGGGGTGCGGCGGGGGCAGTGGTGCGGAGGAGGGGAAGAAGAGGAGAAGGATAATGAGAGTTACTGGGAGGAGTAGCAGCAGCAGAGGCAGGCGGAGGCACGTCTCCGGCCAGCGATCCCCCGGCAGCCAGGCGGATGAGAAGGGAAGAGCTTTCACGAGAGAAGTATCCATTATCGGACGCATGAGGGAGAAGAAATTTGTTTCATTTTTTGTTTTCCTTTACATGAGTTAATTTTGCGTAAGGTTTTAATAGCTTTCCATAGAATTTATGTGAGGTTTTAATAGCTTTATTTTCTTTTTGCATAAGGTTTTAATAGCTTTCCACAAAAATTATGTAAGTTTTTAATAGCTTTAATATGTTTTAATAGCTTTATTATCTCTAATAAATTGAGAGATCCAAACCGGAACAATTTCCATTCTGTAATATTATGTGTTTAGTTCTGGGCCATAGTTCACCTCCGTTCAATTTAGTTGATCTCTTTTGCTTCATGCATTATATATTACAATGATTTTAATCTAGTGATACAGCTCATAGTTCACTTTAGTTCAATTTAGTTTAGTTAATCTCACAATGGTTTCTGTTTAGTGATAGGCTCACAGATTGACGACATCGTTTATCTGCTCTCAAAATTCTGTTTAATTCTGCGCCACAGTTCAATTCACTTTAATAGTTTGATTGGTCTCTTTTCCACCTGCATTATATTACCATGATTTCCAATCCATTGATATGCTCACACATGGACAATATCCATGATTTGCTCCCAAATTATGTTTATCGTTTTTCCAAAGTATTGGCAGGAGCACTGCCCTTTATATGACCAGTGATAGGTGCCAGTCAACCGGCCCAAATTTGGGCGGTCACCGCGCGTGCGTCCAATTTGGCAGCATCCAACACTTCGATCCCCCGCATGGTGCGTTGTCTTCCTCCCTCTCGGTCGTCTCTCCCCCATCGAAGCTCGCGTTCCTGCCCTGCCCGTTTTGCCTCGCCGTTGACGTTTGCCGCTGATGCTCGCCGCCGGCACTCGCCATCGCCAAATCGCAGAAAAAAACCGCCGACGCAACAGTTTTTTGTCCCGCTCCCATGTTGCATCCATGGTAGCCCCATGGGGGCCGCCGGCCGCGAGAACTGCTTCCCCAACCTCTGTTGCAGCATCGCCAGAGACATGTGCGCTCGCAACCCCCAACCTATGGTTCTAGCAAAAACATACGACGGTACAAGCATTTTTGGTCTCTGGTTCCAACATTCATGTAGGTTCCAACTTTTTGATTAATCCAGTTCCATCTTTCAACTTCTTCGGTAGCAGCTCTATGCTCAGCCGGTTGCAGCATATGGCGCCATTGGTAGCAGCTCGTTTACCACCGGTATTTTGCAGTGCCGCCCTTGACAGTTTACCGTCGGTGTTGGTCGCGGCTTCACCTAACATCGGTTCCAGCATTGCCGATGGGAGGTTGAAGCCTTTTCCAGCAACGGGTCCAGCCTCGCCGTTAATTTCGGCAAAAAAAGGAGAGGCAACAATGTCGTCCCACGGTTGCCGTGGTCACCACCGACGAAGAAAGCTGGTTCCTGCAAACGAAGACACCGGTCACAGGAATTGCGGCGGCTGGTTGCAGCATCTCATGGCGCTTGCGACGCCGTTGGCAGCAAACGTGGTCGCCGTTTCCAGCAACCAACTTCGCCGGTTCCAGCACCCGTGGTCGCCGGTTGTAGCATCCATGTGTGCTCCCTGTCGATCATGAGTCATGACTTGGCCGAATCTTCTGGAGATGGCGTTTCGGTCTGGCGACTCGGGGGGCGATTCCGCGGGCGACGTTGCTCGTGGCCCCGCGGCGGAGGCGGATGGCTGGACGGCGGTGCGGCCTGCTCAGGGGTGCGCGCGGTGGAGCGCGCCGTCTAGGGCGCGGCCCCTCGCCCCGTCCCTCTCCGACAGCAGGTTCTGGGCTCTGGAGGGGGTCGACTCCAACGGCGACGACGAGGAGGTAAGCAGTGCGGTAAGTGATGGTGGTGGTTCGCCGAGGCCCCGTGCGGGGTGCTCGGTGGGTGACTTTGTCGCCCGTGCAGAGGAGCTTGGGGGCTCCTTCGTGGCCGGTCGCCGGCGAGCCTTTGC